CGCGGCGGAGGCTCACTTCACAGTTAGAGCCTCGAGCAGCAACCTGTGCGCTCTTCGTCTAGGTCTCCACTTCGACCGTTATCATGCCTCGTGGCACTGCAAAGAGCGGTGCTAAGACACACTCCAAGGCGGCTGCCGGTAAGGCGCAAGCCAAGAGCACTAAGCCTCACGGCAAAGGCTCTGCACTCAAGGAGGCTACTCAGGTGGCCTCCGAGGCGATCGGATCCTCGGGTGACGGGGCTGTGGACAAGCGCGCAAGCAGGCGTCGCAGTCCGTCGCCCTCATCTTCAGACAATCGTCCGAACCCTCGGTTCGTAGAACGTGAGTTCAACTCGGACAGTGAAGACGATGCCGAGTCCGAGAGCACTCATGATGCTCCTGCGGGCTCTGTGGGAGGGCACAACCCAGTGCTTAGTGAGCACAAAGATGACAGCGTGCAGTCGCCCGCTAGTGATCACGGTGATCACAGTCCCAGGACCTCTGTGCGCACTGAGAGTCCGGCCGTTAAGGCTAAGGGCGCTCCCAAAGCCGGTGGCGATGAGGAAGAGAATCCTCGCAAACGTCTCCCGCTTGCGAGGGTCTTGCGCGCGCTAAGGCCTCTAAAGCCGAAGGCGCCAAGCCCTCAAAGAAGCGTACCGCCTCTAAGTCTCCACTCCGCGAGGAGAAGGAGACTCGACGCTCCTATCAGAGTCTCTTCGGCTCCTCGGATGAAGAGGAGGAGAAGGAGGAAGAAGAGGAAGAGGAGGGTGCTATTGTTGAGCCCCGGGAGGTCTCGAATGACCTCGACCAGCAGCAGGAGGATTTCCAAGCTGCCCAGCGTGTGCGTGGGGGCTCGGTGGCGGCACCCGTCAGCCAGGGAGCTGCCATCAACTCAAGAGGGTATTGGCCTCCCGAGGAGAGCTCTGGGGCTGACCTCTTCTTGGAGGTTCTCGTCGCTCCTCGTGGCCTTGTGGGCGGCCACACTTCTAGGGGCATCTATGAACGAGCCCTTGTTCAGAAAGAACAGTTGTTCGTCGACAACTTGGAGGCTGCTCGGTGTGTGCTTCTCGCGCCACACCGCATTCCCCTTAAGGACTTCACGACCTGTCGTAAGAAGCCCGAGACCCGGGGTGGTCTCTATCCTGTTTGAAAAATACCCCTGGGTTATGCCCGAGAACTGTCCCACGTGGAGTTCTTGTGAGGACATGTTCTGGGCGTGGGTGGAGACTCTCAAGTACTCGCCCACGGAGTTATGGGAACTCCATGAAGATCAGCTGCTGCTCCACATCCTGGACCAGCGTGATCTTCGTGTGAGGTTTGCCCCCTTGATCAGCAAGCGTATGCTGCCAAGGGACATCCTGAAGCGCGCGGCTTTGTGGTGTAGTAGAACACACAAATATCGTCAGATGTGGATTCCTTACACAAACCACAACGAATCGCCGAGTTAGGTCGGCGGTTTGTATGGCCTGCGCAGAGGGTGGTCCCCTCGCGGTCCGGCACTTCCGGGACAGACGAGTGGCTCGCTTCCACCCGGTTCCGACTAACCAAGCCAGATCACTTCCGAGGCTCCGCCGAGTTTGGTTCGGCTGAGCTCGTTCACAACCCTGTGCCCTCCACCAAAGGATGGACGACGGCGCGCGAGCGCTTTTACAGGTCACCGAGCGCAGAGGCTGCTCAGCTAGAAGTGTTACGGCACCCGGGCTATCCGACGTACCGGCCCGCTGAGTATGCGGGACTTTCTTTCGCGCGTAGCGAGACTTTGTCCTACCCGCCCGACCTAATCTCTTGGCGCTACCAGTCAATACCCTACAAGCTATGCCTCTCGAGTATTGACGGCAGGCATAATCCAGCCCTATGCAGGGACTTACCGGAAAAGTGTACACGTGTCTTGGACTAGGAAAATTCTGCTCTGTTATCTTCTGGGAGCCCTTTCGGCTCCCCCTATTTAATCCTATGCTTCTCATACAAATATCTAATGAAATGTAGTCGTTTCGGATCTCTACCGACCCTTCAGCTGAGTTCCGGCGACCGTTGAGCTCAGCGGCTGTCCGGATAGCATATCCGGACAGATCGCCGAGTACTTACCGTGATCCTTGGCTCCTAAGCTCTGGGTTATCAGACCGAGCCGATTCTTGACCTAAAGTAGGTCGGCGTATGGTCGAATCTGGAAATCCCTACACCACAACTGCCCCGGTTATGATACGAGCCGAGCTGGTGAGTGTCTTAATCCTTCATTTTGTTCTGCCACCGTTGGTCCGTACTCGGCTGATGACGTCTCGCGGCTCCCCACCACCTTCTTTGGTACGTTCGTTGCTTCCGCTGTCACTCACTTGGCAGCTCCTTACTCTTCGCATGTTGTTCCAGCACAACCCGTGGCACCATCCTTCTTCTCCAACTCCTCGTCGAGGTGAAGGCGTGCCAGCTGAGTCGATTCCTCGACCCGTCGGTACTCGTGGGGTCAGCGACCGGCATGAAGCTGGGCTGGTTGACCTGACAACTTCCCATGAGTCTGACGCGGAGTCGGCAGAGGCTTCTCGCGTGCGCCTTCCTGGTCCACCGAGCTTGCCGGGCGACACCACTTCGGGCGCCACCAATCAGCCAAGCTCGGCTGCTCCAGTGAGTCTTGACTCCCTCATGGCCAGAATTAACGAGCAAGGGCATGATCGCTGAGAAGAATTGACCTTCTTGGCGAGGCTCATGGCTTACGGATTTACTCGTTCCGTGGAGCCCTCCGATCCCGTGCAGCGGCGAGCGATTTTGCATGCTGCTTCCGCGGGGGAACTGTTGGATATCTTGAAAGGCAACTACGCCGCTCTTGATTATCCAAAGATCATCGGCGATCTCCAAGCTGACAATCAAGCTGTTCAGGAGGAGAACCGCGCACTGACTCGGCGACTGGACTCGCTTGCTCTCAGCAATGTCGACTTGTCAACTCAGCTCTCGTCGGCTCAACAGCAAGTGTCTCGATTGGAGGCTGCCGCCACGCAATCGACTAATCTCCTCGCGTCGCTGCGAAAGGCTGTAGCTCTGAGTGAGGCAAAACTTGCTCGGGCCCTCGCAGCTGAGCAGAGCAAGGTTGACGCTGCGTTGGGTCAGGCCCAGCTCCACCATCAGCAAGTCTTGGATCGGGACGCCGAGATCGACGTCCTTCTCCGATCCATTTCTGAGAGGGATGCGGCGTTCGTCACTCTTCAGGGCATTGCTTCCAAGCACTTCGAACAGCTGCAGGAGTCGGTGCGGTTGTACAGTTCCACCGGTACTCAACCCTTGCGGCACGCTCAGTCGGTGATCGCTGAGCAGCGGGCTGTGATCTTGCGACAGAAGCGGCTCATCCGTCGGAATGGTATTATTCCGATGCACGATCCTCACATGGCTGCTGCTGCTGGCGGTGGCTTGCAAGTTCC